GCCGACTTGTTGAAAAAAAACAAAAATAAATCTTTCATTGCATTCCTTTAACTGATTTTCAGGTAAAGTTTTGTCTACATTCTCAAAAAAGTAGTTTCATATCAATTATTATATTATGGGAAGTGTTAAACCTTGAGTGGCCATACAGCACCTTGAGAATGGAAAGTAATTAGGTTTAATCAGAGGACAGCAGTAGTAGCTTCAATTACTTGTATCAAAAGTCCTTTAACTAAGGAAGTCCCTTGAAGGTACTTTTACTGAATATTTCCATCACAATCTCTTATTTTCCCAGTATGTCCTCTAACTCCACAGCTCCTAGAAGTCACTCCTCAGGTCTGTTATGGTCTGCCTCTATAGAAGCAGTGACCATTTTTGCTGTATAGGTTTGTGAAAGAAAGAGAATGCTTTTATTATATTTTATAAAATGCTAAACCTGTGTGGGTTATTCAGTGTAAGGATTATTGGAGACTCGATTCTCTGTCCGTTAATAGCAGATTGATCATTGCCCAGTCAGGCTGTTGGTGATCCAGCAGATCATTATAGAAATTGACAATGAATTAGTGTGGATCATAACTGAACAAACATTTTATTTCTTTGTACAGTATTATTAGTTTACATTTAATAAAATATTGTTAAGCACAAAAAGTCACAAGCACATACGTATGTACATTTCGGGCAGTACACGTCAGAAGTATTATATCGGAGATGTTAATGTGAAGGAAGATATAAACTGCTGATGCTATTTGTTTTTTTTTTTACTATGTGTAAAGACGTTTGGGTTCATTTTTAAAGATATGTAGGAACAGTAAATAGATGTAAGCTGTATTAGAATGTGTTCTACTATACTTGGTAGCCTGGGCATGAGCTAGGGGTGGGGACAGGGCAGTTCTACCCCCCTGGATCAGTCCTGTGTGTGATTTAACACAGGCCTGATCTGTATTAATGTCAAACTTTGAGTTTGTTTGTCCCCTTGCCCTCCTTGAAACAATTGTCATTGCCCAAGAAAGGTAGGCCTGCATTTGGTAGGGAGGCTGTATCCTGGATCAGATTAAGTAAAAAATTACATTACCATTTTAAATTTTGCTAAAGAATCTAACACAAAGTGGGAGTTGTCACAGTTGCTCTTTGCTGATGACACTGCTTTTGGGAGATTCTGAAGAGAAGTTGCAGAGTTTGGTAAATGAATTTGGTAGGGTATGTAAAAGAAGAAAATTAAAGGTGAATATAGGAATGAGTAAGGTGATGAGGATAAAAATATTAGGTGATGAAAGATTAGATATCAGATTGGAGGGAGAGAGTATGGAGGAAGTGAATGTATGTATTCAGATATTTGGGAGTGGACGTGTCCGCAGATGGGTCTATGAAGGATGAGGGAAATCATAGAATTGATGAGGGGAAAAGGGTGAGTGGTATACTTAGGAGTCTGTGGAGACAAAGAACTTTGTCCGTGGAAGCAAAAAGGGGAATGTATGGGAGTATAGTTACACCAACACACTTATACGGGTGTGAAGCATAGGTGGTGAATGTTGCAATGAGGAGAAGGCTGGAGGCAGTGGAGATGTCATGTCTGAGGGCTGTGTGTGGTGTGCATATAATGCAGAGAATTCGTAGTTTGGAAATTAGGAGGAGGTGCGGGATTACTAAAACTGTTATCCAGAGTGCTGAGGAGGGGTTGCTGAGGTGGTTCAAACATGTAGAGAGAATGGAATGAAACAGAATGACTTTGAGAGTTTATAAATCTGTAGTGGAGGGAAGGCAGGGTAGGGGTTGGCCGAGAAAAGGTTAGAGGGAGGGTATAAAGGAGGTTTTGTGTGAGAGGCTTGGTCTTCCAGCAAACATGCATGAGCCTATTTGGTAGAAGTAAATGGAGACAAATTTTTTTTAATATTTGACATGCTGTTGGAGTGAGAGCAAAGTAACATTTATGAAGGGATTCAGGGAAACTGGCAGACTGAACAAGAGTCCTTGAGATGGGAAGTACAGAGTCTGCACTTTGAAGGAGGGGTGTTACTGTTGCAGTTTTATAACTGTAGTGTAAAGCACTCCTCTGGCAAGACAGTGATGGAGTGAATGGCGATGAAAGATTTTCTTTTTCGGACAACCCTGCCTTGGTGGGAATCAGTCGATGTGTTAATAAAATATTAAATTTAAACTTTGAGGGTATGTGGTATGATACATTGGACAGGTATTTCCCATGGTGCCTGCTTGTAAATAGGCGATTGAATCATAAGCCAATTTCACTTCTTATTTTTTATCCAAACTTGCACACAGCATGCAGTGTTTGATGCTCTTTGTAAAACCCAGCCAGGATAACAGCAGTAATAATTACACAATAGTACAATAGACCATATTACACTTGAGAAAACTATATTTTCTTCTGCTGTTGGAAGGCTTGTATCATGGAGTAGTGTGAAGAATGAATCTAATTCATCATCTTGTCAGTATTGTATGCAAGTATGGGTAATGGGGGGGGGGGATTGAAGAGGGGTGGGATAGTTTTAAAAATGTGAGGCAGAAGTTTCTGGCTATTTGAGGAAGGGTGCACAAAGAAAGAGGAGTGATTGGTGGAATGATGAAGTAAAAGGTGTGATAAATGAAAAAAAAGGTAGCTTATGAGAGTTTTTATGAAGCAGAAGTGATATAAGATGGGCAAAGTATGGAGAGTAATAGAGAGTAGCAAGAGAGTGCAAAAGGAGAGCAAATGATAGAGTGGGAGAAGCACTGTCAAGAAATTTTGCTGAGAGTAAGAAAAAATTTTGGAGTGAGATAAATAAGTTAAGAAAGCCAAGGGAATGAATGGATTTGTCAGCTTAAAAGAGAGTAGAGGAGTTAGTAGATGGGGAGCTGGAGGTATCGAGTAGATAGCGGGAATGTTTTGAGGAACTTTTAAATGTCGATGAAAAAAGGGAGGCGGTAATAACATCTTTTAGGAGTGAGGAAGAGGAGGCTGTGAGTGTGGGGGAGGTGCATGAGGCATTACATAGAATGAAAGGGGGTAAAGCAGCTGGAACTGATGGGATCAAGACAAATGTTAAAAGCAAGGGGGGATATATTGTTGGAGTGGTTGGTATTTTTGTGTAATAAATGTACGAGAGAGGGGAAGGTACCTTGGGATTGGCAGAGAGCATGTATAGTTCCAATATATAAAGGGAAGGGGGGACAAAAGAGATTGTAATAATTATAGGGGAATAAGTTAACTGAGTATACCAGATAGTGTATGATATGGACGATAGGGTTATTATTGAAAGAATTAGAGGCGAGATAGAGAGCAGGATTGGAGATGAGCAAGGAGGCTTCGGAGTGGGTAGGAGACGTGTAGATCAAGTGTTTACATTGAAGCATATATGTGAACAGTATTTAGATAAAGGTAGGGAAGTTTTCATTGCATTTATGGATTTAGAAAAGGCATATGATAGTGGATAGGGGAGCAGTGTGGCAGATGTTGCAAGTATATGGAATAGATAGTAAGTTACTAAATGCTGTAAAGAGTTTTTATGAAGATAGTGAGGCTCAGGTTAGGGTGTGTAGGAAAGAGGGAGATTATTTCCCAGTAAAAGTAGGTCTTACACAGGGATGTGTAATTCCATCATGGTTGTTTAATATATTTATGGATGGGGTTGTAAAAGAAGTAAATGCTTGGGTGTTGGGGAATGGGGTGGGATTAAATTATGGGGAATCAAAATGCAAAATGGGAGATTCTAAAGAAAAGTTACAAAGGTTAGTGGATGAGTTTGGGAGGGTGTGTAAAGGTAGAAAGTTGAAAGTAAATACATGTATAGATAAGAGTAAGGTGATGAGGGTATCAAATGATTTAGATAAAGAAAAATTGGATATCACATTCCAGAGAAGGAGTATGGAAGAAGTGAATGCTTTCAGATATTTAGGAGTTGACTTGTTTATGAAGGATGAGGTTAACCATAGAATTGATGAAGGAAAAAAGGTGAGTGGTGCATTGAGGTATCTGTGGAGACAAAAACGTTATCCATGGAGGCAAAGAAGGGAATGTACAGAAGTGTAGTGGTACCAACACTCTTATATGGGTGTGCAGCTTGGGTTGTAAATGCTTCAGTGAGGAGGCGGCTGAAGGCAGTGGAGATGTCCTGTCTAAGGGCAGTGTGGTGTAAATATTATGCAGTGTGTATAGTGTGGAAATTAGGAGGATTGTGTAGAGTTACTAAAAGTATCGGTCAGAGGGCTGAAGAGGGGTTGTTGAGGTGGTTTGATCATTTAGAGAGAATGGAACAAAGTAGAATGACTTGGAGAATGTATAAATCTATAGTGAAAGGACAGCGGGGTAGGGGTTGTCCTTGAAGAGGTTGGAGGGAGGGGTGAGGAGGTTTTATGGGTGAGGGGCTTGGGTTTCCAGCAAGCGTGCATGAGCATGTTAGATATGAGTGAATGGGGACGAATGGTTTTTGGGACCTGACAAACTGTTGGAGTGTGAGTAGGGTAATATTTTGTGAAGGGATTCAGGGAAACCAGTTAGCCAGACTTCCAGTCCTGGAAATGGGAAGTACAATGCCTGCACTTTAAAGGAGAGGTTTGGGATATTGGCAGTTTGGAGTGACTATCTAAACTGTTGTATCTGGGTGCCTCTGCAAAGACAGTGATTATGTATGAGTGATGGTGAAAGTGTTGACTGATAATGAAAGTTTGTTCTTTATTTTCGGGTTGTTCTTTCTTTTGGGTCACCCTGGCTTGACGGAAAATGGTCAGCATGTTAAAGAAAAAAAAAAATTGTGATTCCCTGTTAATGAGTACGTATAGGAGCAGAGGTAAACTCGGAGTGTCTAATTTTTATTATTTATTCAGTTTTAGAGTTTTTCAAACTCAAGACATAATTGTAAATAAACCATTCCACTGATTTGTTAATATTAATTTTTCTATTTCTACTTGTTGCCAAGATTTTCTATTTACTCTCTCCAGGTAAACTGGTAATTCAATTTACGAGTGATTGTTGATTGCTACCATGCCTGCTAATATGCATTAATTCTTTGCAGGTCCCTGGGGAGTATACAGAATACACCATAAAGTCTGTGCCTATAGATGATCACAACGTAAAGAAAAAAGCCGAACTGCTTTTGGAGCAGTATGGTCGCACAGGTTCTCTCTATCCCCATAATGTTGTCCTTGTCCCTATAGGAGATGACTTTCGCTATGATCATGCATCAGAATGGGACCAACAGTATTCTAGCTATCATCGTCTTTTAACTCACATCAACAGTGACCCTAAATATCATGCTACTATACAGTTTGGAACACTTAAAGATTACTTTGCCGAAGTACAAAATCGTATGCGTGATTATCCGAGCCTTCAAGGGGACTTCTTTGTGTATAGTGATATCTTTAGTGAAGGTCGGCCTGCCTATTGGAGTGGCTATTTTACTACTAGACCTTATTGGAAAGTGTTAGACCGACAATTAGAAGCTTCCTTACGTTCCGCAGAGATCCTGTACACCTGGGCATATGCTTGGGCTGTGCAGGAAGGCCAAGCTAGAGTGGTGCAACTTTTGGAAAAAGATTACGAAAAATTAGTGCGTGCTAGACGAAATTTAGCTCTCTTTCAACACCACGATGCCATAACGGGGACATCTAAAGCTTATGTGATGCACGATTATGCTATTAAACTTCACGAAGGGTTGCACGACACCTTGGCATTGGCCGGGGAAGCAGCTGAAGCACTGCTTTTGACACGAGCAGCTATGGCTGCTCTTGACCATCGAGCTGCACCTCTTCATCACCTTCATCCAGACTTTGAACGTTCAACATACGAGCGGTTACCTCGCAAGTTGCCGTTAGCTATACCACGTGATCAGCCTCGCCTTATAGTGATGTTCAATTCCCTGGGGCAACGCCGTTATGAAGTAGTTAAAGTTTTGGTCTCTTCCCTTGATATAAGAGTTACTGAAGAGCATGGTCATGAAGTGCCAATTCAAATAAATCCAGTGTGGAATGATACCGGAAACGGTATGGCCATCCTCTCTTCACAGTTTGAGTTGCTCTTTGTTGCAGATCTGCCAGCATTAAGTGTGATTACATATAGTATTCACCACACTTCTCGATCTACGACAGATTTGCGTGCATCAGTATACTCTAATAATTATGCTCCTGCACCCGATCAGAATTATTCCCCACCATTTGAAACACGTGATGTCCTTCCGGGTGACATTCAACTTGAGAGTGATCATCTCAAATTGCTGTTTGACGGCACTACAGGAATGCTTCGTTCCATAACGGACAAGGTCACCGGTCGAGTCACACAGACTGCGGTCCGTTATGCTGCATACCCCTCTGCTCAGTTTAAATCAGGGGCTTACTTATTTAAGCCAGACCCTAATTCTCGAGAGCCTGAGGAGGATGTATTAGCAGGTGCTAAGCCACGCCTTTTCATTCATTCTGGTCCAGTGGCATCAGAACTTAGTGTGATGTTTGGGTCAGTGTTAATGCATACCACTCGCATCCTTCACGTGGTCCACCAGCCTCTTGCATCTGCCATTTATATGGAAAATGTGTTTAACTTAGGTGCCCGTTATAATAGTACAGAGACCCCTGGGTTTCCACCACATTTCCGTGAAACAGAAATGTTCATGCGTATTATGACGGACATTGATAATGGTGCAGAACCTACTCTATATACTGATCAGAGTGGCCTCAACATGCAGAAGCGTGTTCGTGTTCAGCGCATTGGTATCCAAGGCAACTATTTCCCTATTACTTCAGCAGCAATGATTGAGGATAATGGACCGGGAAGACGACTCACACTGCTGACAGATCATGCTGCTGGAGCTGCTGCTTGGCAACAGGGCTGGCTTGAAGTAATGGTGGAAAGGAGGACATTCTACGACGATGCCCGTGGTATGGGGGAGGGAGTAACAGATCAGAAACGGACTGTGGGTCGGTATTGGCTGTTAGTTGAAGATACGCAGGGCCCAGAACCGGTGGCTCGTCTCTCTCTCGCAGCTCACCACCTTGCTAATGATCTTAATTACCCAACTACTCAACTCATCAACGAAGGTCTAGACGCCGACCAACTGAATTCGGCAGCACATCTCATAACTCGCCCACTGCCATGTACACTGCACCTGATGACATTGCGCACCTTGCCAGAGCCACAATATCCAAGTTTGTTACCATCACGCACAACACTCATGATAATTCAGAACCAATCGCCATCCTGCACAGCCTCTGCTTCTGTCTCTACCTGCAATGGATTAGGGGACTCTCCTTTCCCTGGCACTGAACTCACACTGCAGGTTAGTAGATTGTTATTGCAGTATATCCATGGGGAAGTGCTCAACCTGCAAGGGTTGTATGGTGCTTGGGAAATGGAATAGGTGGGCAGTAATTGGGTTTAATCCAATAAAGGGGAGAGTAACTGCACTTTGTTTGGTTCAGTGTCCTTCATCAGCACCTTACCCAATACCACTTCAACTTAAATGTGTGATCTATCTGCACAAGTCTGCAAATGTATATTTAATGAATAGGTCTTCCAAGCTTCACTTTCAGAATTTAAGAACTTTGCCTTTCCTTGATCCCTTGAACCATATATCATTGCCTAAAGTAAGTGTTGTATTTTTAAAGGAGAAATAATTAACTTAATCTGTAAAACAGTATCTAATCTAGGGAATGTTAGGTTTGGGAAAAAGAAATAAAAAATATGCAGTATACTGTAAGTACAGTATATAGATTATTACCACCTTCATTGTAATATTCTAAGTCATTGCTAATATTATTTCTGCATGGTGTATTTTTGTTTCTAGTAATATTCTAAGCATATACTGCATATTCTCACCTGATTTTGATAATATGTATTCTTTCTTCTTTCAACACACTGGCCGTATCCCACCGAGGCAGGGTGGCCCAAAAGGAAAAACGAAAGTTTCTCCTTTTACATTTAGTAATATATACAGGAGAAGAGGTTACTACCCCTTGCTCCCGGCATTTTAGTCGCCTCTTACAACACGAATGGCTTACGGAGGAAGAATTCTGTTCCACTTCCCCATGGAGGATGTATGTATGTATGTGTGTATATATATATATATTTTTTTTTTTTCAACAAGTCTGCCATCTCCCACCGAGGAAGGGTGACCCAAAAAAGAAAGAAAATCCCCAAAAAGAAAATACTTTCATCATCATTCAACACACTCACACATTATCACTGCTTTTGCAGAGGTGCTCAGAATACAACAGTTTAGAAGCATATACGTATAAAGATACACAACATATCCCTCCAAACTGCCATACCCAAAC